GAGATGGCGGGGCTCCCCTCCACCCGGTGCATGTTGGACTACGGCAGGGCTGCCCTTTGTCACCGGTTCTGTTCATTATCTTTATGGACAGAATTTTTAGGCGCAGCCAGGTGTCGGGTGGGGTCCAGTTCGGGAGCCACTGGATTTCATCTCTGCTTTTTGCGGATGATGTTGTCTTGTTGGCTTCTTCGAACCAGGACCTGCAGCATGCACTGGGTCAGTTTGCAGTCGAGTGTAAAGCCGCTGGGATGAGAATTAGCACCTCTAAGTCCGAGACCATAGTTCTCGACCGCAAAAAGGTGGTTTGCACCCACCGGGTTGGGGAGGAAGTCCTGCCTCAGGTGGAGGAGTTTAAGTATCTTGGGGTCTTGTTCACGAGTGACGGTAGGATGGAACGTGAGATTGACAGGCGGATCGGTGTACCGGTGGTGAAGAAGGAGCTGAGCCGAAAGGCAAAGCTCTCGATTTACTGGTCGAGCTACGTTCCTACCCTCACCTATGGTCATGAGCTCTGGGTCATGACCGAAAGAACGAGATCCCGGATACAAGTGGCTGAAATGAGCTTTCTCCGCAGGGTGGCAGAGCGCTCCCTTAGAGATAGGGTGAGGAGCTCTGTCACATGAGAGGAGCTCGAAGTAGAGCCGCTGCTCCTCCACATCGAGAGGAGTCAGCTGAGGTGGCTTGGGCATTTACATCGCATGCCCCCCAAACGCGGAGGTGCTCAGGTCCTGTCCCTCTGGGAGGAGACCTAGGGGTAGACCTAGGACACGCTGGCCTGGGAGTGCCTTGGGGTCCCCCCAGAAGAGCTGGAGGAAGTGTCGAGGGAGGTCTGGGTGTCCCTATTATTTTATGATCTTTCACTGGTAACTGTTTTTGACAGAATTGACAGAAATATAAACAGCCTCTGTATAATTTGTACAGGACTCCTTTAGGAAGAGGACGTGCGTGGTTACGATTGGCCTTGATGCAGAAGAAGCTCTCCGACTACATGAAGACCATCATCAACAGAAAGGACCTGCTCAGGTGTGTGTTTTTTCATGACTAATCATGATTTTCTGCGATCGAATTGTTATGCAACTTGTTTGCAAAATGTTTGGGTCACTGCTAAATTGTATTAAGAAAGTTAAAAATTATAGTATATGAGGATTCCTGTGATATAAAATTTGGTTTTAATTATGAGGTCTTGCCTTCAAGACAGACGATACAGTAGTGGCTAATGGCGGCATGTGCGGAGGAGGGAGGGAGGAAGGGAGGGAAGAGAGTTGGCCCGTACGAAGACACTTGATTCAGTACCGTACACGTACATTATGTAACTTATACTATATACTTACGTATTTTTTTTTACTTTTCTATTTTTTTTTTCTTTTTTCAATTTGTATTCTTTCTTTAGCGGGCATATTTATGGACAATTTTATGCTTTATTTCCATGGTCATCATGCATTTCTTCTTCTCACTACCATCCTTACCACTCACTCTCTTAGGACTCATCACTATTATGAAGAATAATGCACACAATAGAGAGAAAATCACATAGATAATGTAAACACAATACGGAAGACTCGCGTATGGAAGTAGACGAACACATGAAGTAAACGAGTGAGGCAGTGTGGGCTGCTTCGAGTGCTTGGCCACCTAGCGTCTGTAAACGTGCTCGTATCTCAAATCTTTACTCGTATCTTGTCACTTGTATATCTTTGCCCGAAGGCTTGCTCGTATCTCGAAATACTCGTATGTCAAGGTTCCACTGTATAACAATAATATAATATCATGTGACCTAACATTTAAATTTTTATCTGCGCTCTGCAGTGAATTCTACGAACCAAATGCACTGATGATGGAGGAGGAGGGCGCCGTCATCGCTGGGCTGCTCGTGGGACTAAATGTCATTGACGCCAATCTATGTATGAAGGGAGAAGACCTGGACTCACAGGTTTGTCTGTTCGTCTGCTTTTACTTCCTTGTGCACATTCTTTATTAACACCTCACTGGTGAAACACAGTAGAGCTCTATCACTGCATTCACTCAGAATCACTGTTAGGGCTGGCCAGGTTGCCTGTTTGTATAGAGACATAAAGTGAAACTTTAACTGCTGCAAAGACTGTAATTTTCTGCTTCACTGACTAATGTGGACTTCAGAATAAGATGTACATTCAATGGCCATTGTATTGGGTACACGCACTAAAGTATTCTTTAATGCAGCAGTAACTCAAGATTAAGCCATTTGATAGAGAGTTAAACACCCACGTGTTAAGATTTTTGAATGCACAAATGTTACACCGGTAGCAGATGGGCTACAGCAAAAGCAGAAGATTACACTCCTGTCAGGACTTAGAAGTATGACCAGGTCAGGACCATTAAATGTGGGACAAGGATTAGGTTTTACTGTGAGAACTCAAGGTGAAAAAAAAAAATCAGTCAATTGCAAAATGTATCGACATTTTCATCAACTGTTTGGACATGAGATACATCTCATAAAGTCACAGCAAGGTTTTATCCTAATAATTTTAAAGTATGAAAAAGTTGCACTGGTCGGTCCTCTTGCAGGTCGGAGTGATTGATTTCTCGATGTACCTTAAAGATGGTGGACACAGCAGTAAGAGTGCAGAGGGGTGAGTCCTGTCTCCAATCAAATCAGGAGTCCATTCTAACAGAGTAATTTCAGTGAATAACAGAGTCATATCTATAATACTGTCAAATACAGTACAGGAAAAAAACATTAAAAAGTTACTAAGTACTATTGTGCAGTGAATGTTACATGTATAAAGGTGTTGATCATGACTTGATTCAGGTGTTCCTGCTTAGTCTGTAAGTATGAGTGGTTTTTATATTTTTAATGCGATGAATTAAAAAAAAATTATCCTAGAACATGCATAGCAAAACTGCGAAATTTAATCATGCAGAAAATTGTTGCTTTTAATTTTTTGGTTTTCTTTTGGGGTTGGTGCAAAAATTATAAAACAGTTGAATTAGTTTAAAAACTCAAAATTAATTAAGTATTTTAAGTATATACTAAATACTCAATTCCTCAACTGAATTTCTCAATTTTTATCTTTGACAATACCTCTTCAGTGATGGTCAAATCACAGCCATTCTGGATCAGAAGAACTACGTGGAGGAGCTGAACAGACATCTAAGGTTTGTCACAAAGACACGTTTGCACCAAACTCTCACCTACGGATCTCCTTCTAGTTTGATTCAGTAATTTCACATGATAATTGTATGTCTTTTTTTCCAGTGCATCAGTAAATAACCTACAGGCCAAAGTGGATGCCCTGGAAAAGTCCAACACAAAGCTCACAGAAGAAGTAAGTTCAAACTTAAACGTACACCTCTGATGCTCTTTTGTTCATTTAAAAGTGTAATATTCCTGCTTCTCTGCACAGCTGCAGATATTTATTTGCCTTTATTGGTTTTCACAGCTTGCTGTGGCAAATAACAGGGTCATCACATTACAAGAAGATGTGGAGAGAGTAAAAGAGGAGAGCTCCTATCAGCTGGAGTCCAGAAAGGTGAGGAAAATGTTTGGTTTTAGTCTTTTCATCGTTCGCCTTCTTCACAGAGGGACAACAGATCAAACGGTGAAAAGTCCAGAATCTCAAACTGTTGATTTATTTCTGAAATAGATGGAACCAACATTATAAGAATGGAGAAAAAGGAAAAAAACAAACACTCGACAATAACCAGAGATGTGCATTTCCCTTGTCAGGCCAGTCAGGCCTGATTTGTCTGTTTGACTCCTGTGGAGCCTCTGATGTTTCACTTCCTCATATTAATCATCATTAGAGCCACTAAATGTTTGTGCAGGAGTAAACAAGAAATAAAATGAAAACAAATATTGGTATCTGCAACATATATAACATGTATATATTTATGAATGCAAAAGGTATTTTTTCTAATTATTATACACTGTCTGCTCTGTTTTCAGGCTTTAAAAAATGACACAGCGGCGGATGGACAAGCACTGGGAGAAACACGGAAACAGCTCACAGAGAAAACTTTGCTCCGATTGGTGGGTTCTGAAGGCTCCCGAAGGCAGTTGTATGTGTCCTGTGAGTCTTCTGAATTTAAGTGCAATCCCGTTGTCTGAGCAGGATGTGGAGAAGGAGCTGGAGGTGCAGATTGGGATGAAACAGGAGATGGAGCTGTCCATGAAGATGCTGGAGAAAGATTTCTGCGAGAAGCAGGACACTCTGGTGGAGCTCAGGCAGCAGCTGGAAGAACTTCGTGCCATCAACCAACAGCTTACCCACAAGTCACAGGTAAACGTTATATCTGTGATGCACCCACCAATGAAATGCCTTTTGTGTATTTATTTTTTACTAGTTTTTTACTATGATTGGACCTCTGTGAGCCAAGAAAACCTAGCTCTGATTGGCTCTCGCATGTACATACTGTCGCAAGATCAGCGCTGATTGGACTTCGTCGCTGCCAGGATTGTTCTCTGTGTTTTCAGTGATTGACATAGCCCTGCAGAATTTAAACACTTACAGTAGTTTTTCTTTAGTTTTCATCTTAGAAATAAAAAGTTGTTGAATAAGTCTTTGAAGGAAATTATAAATTAAATATTCTTTGATAATCCTTAGGAGTTTCCTGTGTCCCACTGTGTTGTAGATTTAATCAACCCTGCAGCTGAAGTATCATCAGTCACCGACGCACTTTATTAATACGAAAACAAAACGATAAATTAGCCAAATCATGCTAATAATCTAAACTGTGAGACATTGTCATTGAATTAAATAGGACGCACTACACACTATATTGATGACCGAGAAAGGACATCACTTGACTAACATGGTGGATCTCCCTCAGAGCACTGACGCCAGCTCCAAACAGAAGAGTGAAGTCATTGTTCGCCTGGAGGAGAAAATTAACCAGATGTCAGGGACTGTGAAACAACTGGAGACCAGGTGAGTGGACATTTCTTGTTTTGGAATTTCATCAAAACAAGGGTTTTGGTTTTTTTTTAACCTATTTACATAAAAAATATTTTGCTGTCTCTGCCATTTTCCCTCTTTCACTTTTCCCTTCATTACGTATATATTTTTGTTTTACTTATTTTGGCATTTGTCATTCTTCTTTTCAAATCAGTGAGAAACATTTGGTGAAACAGGCCTGTAACTTGAACTCGGCAGCAGGGAAACTGCTGCAGCTACAGCAGTAGCAGAGCTTTCATAACTGAATACAAACATAAAACCCTGCTTAATGTAATAGAATAACCAAACTAGGGTGTTATCTTTTTTCTGTACGATGCTCCTCTATTGTTAAAAATAAAAGCATCTTTGCCACAACCTGCAGTGGCTCCAAAGCATCAGCTTTGAATAGTGTGGACCCGGTCGACCCTTTTAGCAGCTCCTGAATCCTTGTTTGCTGACAGACATGTTCATGGTATCAGAATAATATTTTTTAATTTGGACCCTTAATGCTTTTCAGCCATGGTTTGCGACGACGCTTGGGGCCTGAACGTCCACTTTAGACATTATTCTAACATAAAGGACTGATGATGATGATACCGTGTGACACATCCTGGATATTAAGGACTAGCTGTGATGATGTGATTTATTAAATCTCTTCTACAGACTGTGATTAAATATTTTCTATCTAACGCAGACCAGATGGTTAGAGACTGAATATTTTGGTTTGTTTTTTGCTCAGTTTTATTGTCATTTGTTAATCCTCACAAGTTGAAGATCAATACAGGAGACACGGGACATGAAGGGCAAAATTAATTTTCCCTCCATTTCGTTTTGTTTTAAACATTTACATTTTCATTTTTTGTCATGAGTTTATGGTAACCCCCCACCCCCCTCACTAGATGCAAACAGGCTGAGAAAGAAAGGGACATGGCCTTTGAGGCCAACCGGCTCTTCAAACAAGAGTTTGGAGACAAAATTGGGAGTCTGCAGTTGGAGGTGGAGCAGCTGAGGAAGCACAGGTAGGAAGTGGGAATGAGGTACTAAGAAATGTGAATTTGAACTAAATCAAGTCCTGTGAGACTTTCATGATAAACTACACCGACTGACTAACAAGAAAAAGGAGCTAAGGCAAGAATCAAATGTGTTAAACTGACAGAATCACTGTTTTGTTTTGTTTTTTAAACTGTGTTTCTTTACAGCATCACAAATCAACACGAAACAAGTCCATTAAAGCGCTGTTAATTTCAACATCACAGTTGTCAGGTTTTGTTGCTGTTAAAGACCTGTCCTTATGGACATCATCGTCTGCAGTTTGAACCAAATGCACCATAAATGTAATCAGCAGGTTAAATGTTTCACTAAATTCTTTCATGTTCTTATTTTAAATTACAGCACTTGAATGTACTGATCCGTTTGTCAGTGTTATAAGAAAAAAATCTGAAATTTTTCTCATAGTTAAACAATTATTCAGTTCTTGCCTGTGGTAGATTTGGGTCTCATATTACACTAGGGCTACTGTATAAAAAACACATTTTGTAGGAGTCAGGGAAATGTATTTTAAGGAATCTTGTGTTTTGCTTTTATTTTGTGGTGATATTTCAGGGCTGTTTTGGAACATGAGCTGAAAAAAGGACGAGAACGCAGGAGCCAGCATCAACCTATCGTTGCACCCGGTCCTTTCAGTGCTCCTCAGAGGGAATGGGTGCTGTCAGAGAATGTACCAAAAGTATGACCGTGCTCCAAATACGCCTCTGAACCAGTCATGTGTGGACACAAAACTGTGTTTATTACAAATTTAAAAACACATTTCTGTCTTCAGCAGCTCCCAGGTTCACCATCCGTCAATAGAGACATTGAGCAGCAGCAGCACAGTGGACAAGTCTAGTCTGAGCTCCAGTTTGTAAGCAGTTCAGTTCTGAAAATGGATTTTGAAAAATGTTATTGTAACTACACTGGTCATTTTAAATGTCCAAAATGTCTTTCTCTTACAGGACCTTGTCACATGAGGATGAACTGGTGAGGATTTTTCTTTTACAAAAATCTTATGAGACATTATTGTCAGTCTTCAAATAATCTTTTTATACATTGATCTGGCAAAATTAACAAACAAAGTTTCATCACACTGCCCCTCTTATACGCAGTATTATGGGCGGTTACAGAGTACTATAGGGTGTGTAGTACAGTGTAACTGCCACCATACACAGTACAGTTTTATTATGGAATAAACGGCATATATACTTTGGCAAATTGTCTGCAGGTGGTGCAATCATCTGTGGAGATCGGTCAACCGTCCATGTGTTCGCTGTGTGAACTGGAAGACTCGCTTCTGAAGACAAAGGTAGAAGAAGTCTAGGCTGGGATTTAAACCTGCAACCCGGTTCTTTTGAACACCACTTCACAGACTGTCTCCATTTTTTTACAGACTTTGAATTTGCAATAAAAGCTAATTTCCTATCACTTAAGCTCAGAGAAAATTATAACAATTATTGTTGACACTTTAAAAGTGTCAGTCCTTCTTAGTGTTACCAATTTTTTTGCTAAAATGATTTCTAATTTATAGTAAGTCTGACCACATATTTGTTACTTTTCCAACCCTGGTGTTTATCCTGTCTGCTAACAGTATA